TTTTTTTGTTATTTATTGACTATTGTTTTGAGTTGTAAATGGTTGTGTTGTTCATGCTATGTAGAGGAAGTTGTTCATTGTTCATTGTTCAATATAATTGCAATATTAATTTAAGAGTAGTGTTAAATTTAACTGTTCATTAGAAATTTGGAATTTAACAGTTCACGTTTTTTTTGTTATTTATTGACTATTTTGTTGGTTTATTTTTCTGAAAATGTTATCTTAATTGACAATGTATAGGAGCAATGGAAAATACTCCTAAATCTCCAAAAATCGAAGACAATGATGAACCAAACTCGTCTAAAAAAAGGGGTGGTAGAACTTCAAACGTTTGGGATCATTTTACAAAAAAGGACTCTAGATGTTTTTGTAATTATTGTGGAAAAAACTATGCTTACCATAGTAACCCGCCAACCCAACCCAACCCGCCCTAACCCGCAAGGGTTGGGTTGGGTTGGGTTATACTTTTGAATGGGTTGGGTTGGGTTGAGATTTTTCAAACCGCCGTAATTGGGTTGGGTTGAAAAAACGTCATAAACCGCCCAACCCAACCCGTGTTCACCCCTAAATGTTTATATATATATATATATTTATATATATATATATATATCGATGGAGAGAGAGAGAATTTCACAGGAAAACCAACTCTATCATCTAGTTCGACTTCTTTCTCTATCTATATATAAAAAAGAAAACACACCTTATCATCTGGTTCGACTTCAGCTGCATACTCACATTAAAATCAACTCATCCCCAAATGAGTCTCATCATTTTCATGAATAAAGTATCCACAATTCTCGTGAATTTTTCTGCAATCGCCATAGCAGATGAGAGTTTTTAGGTTGTTGCTGATGATGATCAATCGATACTATTTCTACAACCTTCGATTAATTCAATTATGTTACAATCGAGGAATAGGATCTACAGATTTGTTTTTCTAACCGGTGGATTATTTTATTTGAGCTGAATCCAAGTTTGTTGCATCGTCTTATCAGATAATTTTGTTCCATAAAGGTAATCCAACAAAAAACTGTAAATGACGGTGGAGCTGTTCATTAAAAGGAGGAGCTCGATTGAATTTTTGAATTTTTATTTCGATTGGTACGGGAAGAGTTTCAGATGATGAATCATATTGTTCCTGATTTTGAAGCGGACGAGGATTACTTAATTCCGGAGATGCCTAAGAAATCAACAATGTAAATTGCTTTCAGTTTTGTTTTTTTTTTTTTTTTTTTGTATTTGCTGATTTCGTTGTTCTATTGATTCAAAAATGGAGTTTCGATGTTCAATTTTGATTAGAAGTATTTGGATTGAATTTTGTAGGGGTGGAGATGAAGATATCATGGAGCTACTATGGCAGAATGGTCAGGTGGTGATGCAGAGCCAAAACCAGAGATCCGTGGGGAACAAGAAGCCGGAGATTAGGACATCAATGGCGAATCGAGAGATCCGATCGTCCGTTGTTGAAGAAGAAACAGGACCTTCTGATTTGTTCATGCAAGAAGACGAGATGTCCTCTTGGCTTCATTACCCTATGGATGAGAATTCCTTAGAAGGCTGTTTATACAGTAACGATCTCCTCTATCCTACGCCGCCGTCGTCTACTCCCCTCACCACCGCCCCTTCCTCCCTACCGCCGCCGCCTCCACCACCGTCCGTAACGATTCCTCCTCCTCGTCCTCCGGTTCCTCCGTTCAGGCGAGTGGAAGGGGAATCAGGACAACCTAAGTATACAAACTTCTTACATTTCTCTAGGCCTAATAAAGGTAGGGCTTCACAATTAGGGCCGTGTAGTTCGAGCTTGCCGCCGTCGTTGAAGCCATCGACGGCCATGGAGTCGAACGATACGCCGGCGGCAGAAGCTCCGGAATCTAGGGCTTCGCGAGTGTCGGATAAAACACCTACTGTTTCTGTGGCAAATATTGGATGCGGCGGCGGGAGCATGAGCGGTGTTGGTGCAGCAGGTACATCATCGGCGGGAAGGGAATTAGAGACATGTGAGCTAAGCGTGACGTCATCTCCCGGTACAGGTGGCTCAGGAGCAAGCGCCAGTGTGGAGCCTTCGTCTCAAAAGCCGCCGCCGACAACTGATGATCGGAAGCGGAAAGGCAGAGATACCGACGACACAGAATGTCACAGTGAGGTACGTCACTGATCTCTTTTTTTTTTTTTTTACAGTCATTTTAGTTTAAAAAAAATTAAATTCCACGCAAAATGGGTCTTCTGTTGGATAAAAATAGGGGAATGATATGGGCATCTTTTCTATATGAATTACGTCAAATAATATATTAGCCTCAGAATATTTACAACAGATTCTCAAAATTTCTTAATTGTAAATTAAAAGTTAAAATCTTAAAAAAAATATACATTTATTTTGAACAGAAATTCTATTTTTATAATATTAAATTTTTATTTTTTCTATTTTAAAAAATCTGTTAAAAAATTTCTTAAATCATGTGGAAAGAAAATTAGTAAGCCAGTATATACCTACCCTAAAAATCTCCGAGAGTCAAATTAAGTGCACACATATGATTTGTTATATGTGTCCTTACTTATTAATATTATTCTTTTATTAATTAACGTTAAAAGTATTTTCAATAGTTATTTTAAAATAAAGATTTCTTTTTTTTAGTCATAATGTAATGTTAAATAAGATACAAGTTAGAGAGGGTGAAAATCTTTTAATTTGGATAAATCTATAGAATTGTATATTTAATAAAGATAAAACAATATCGATATTTATCTATTTTTCCCACAAATAGGAGATATTTAAATTAAATGTTTAAGAAAGAAGATGATGATATAATTAATATTGAAATCTTTAAAATATAATATATGTTGGAGTTAATATAATTTCTTTAGAGATTTTGACTTTTGATACTTTATTTTAGAAAAATTATAAAATATCTGTTGGAGAGATGTGCTCATTTTTGCATTTTTTCAGTGTAAAATTTGGCATGATTTTGTAGTAAATAAATGTCTATATAACATCACTTATCTCCAATTTCAAATTCTCATGTTATACTATACTTAAATAAATTTAAAATATTGTGTTAATTTCATTAGTGGAACATAAATAAAACGTAGGATTTTATGACTATATATAGATTTTTATCATTATAGGGCGATAAATTTTTCATTTTTTAAAATATTATTTAATTTTATTACTAGAACATGAATAAAACATAGGATTTTATGATATTAGATAGATTTTTTTCACTATGGCATATTTTTCATTTTTGTGCAGTGAATACTTGTACACACGCACGAATTTTCCACTTCTACAAACCCGATGTTGCGGTTAGAATGTGCATGGAGGGTTGTACCCTCGTTTCTGGAAATAAAATGTCGTGGTCTGAATTCTTAAAGTTTAAAGTGTTTTTTTCGTTGGAAAAGAAGAAGAAAATGGGGGATAAATAAAGGATTATTTAATTAGATTTTGTTTGTCCATGAATTTCGGGTTTTTGTAGCTTCTTTTCTGTGAGCGCGTGTCGTTTAGCAACAACACTTCAATGAACCTGTACACTTTTTCCAAGACAAAATCTGGATTTGAGAAAGCATTTTTACTGATGAGCATGAATATTTGCATTTAGCCCATCCCTCTTTTGCATTATTCCTATTTTGTTCACCTTTTATATACACCTATTATAATATCGATAAAATCAATAAAGCTTTATGTATGGATTAATTTGTTTATGTAGATTGAAAGGTTTCTTAAGAGAGTATTTTCGATAGATGGAAGAACTTGACTTTCTATAAAATAATTTCCTGTAAGTTTATTAAATAAATCAATTTTAATATGATTAAAGCACTATCAAATAATTAGGTATAGCTGATATTAAGCTACTAACAAACGTTAAGTCGTATTTAAAGAGATAGGTTGCTAACACAATTTTGTGAAGATTGGAATTCAAGGGCTGAGAGAGTAAATTCTTGGCTGATAAACTGACCATCAACCGGTGAATTAATCTTGTTGGACGATAACGTAATATAATTTTAAATTTTTTAGAGATAGTTACAAAAATATAAATAACATTAATTGAAAAAGAAACAGAAAAACCAATATGGTACTGTTTGGTGGTTGTTGCATGGTTTGGTACAGAATGATTAAGTGATCAAAATGATAAGAGACTCTCGTGATATAGTACAAAATGAAATATAATTGTTTGGTAATTATGTACAAAGAAATTAGGGCGCTGAATGGTTAAGAAAGATTCAAAATACAAAATCATTCAAGTGATTTTAGGACCATTAAGAGACATACTTTTTTTTGTCAAACAAGAGTCACTTCTTAACGATTCAAATATTGCGTCTTAATGAAACTATTAAAAGGTAAACAAACAATTCATGAGTAACCATTCAAAAATTTGTCTAATGCTTATTAAAATAGACTTTTTTTAATAAATTCAAAAATAAATTATTTTATATTTGTTAAACATAATTTGCCCGTATTTTGAATATTATTTGGAGTTGTATCAAGAGGTGATCTTTGTTAAGGTGGAATCAATCAACGAAAATTAGAGATTGTTACATACATGAGCTAAGCTAAATATGGTTATATATATTACGTATCTATATTTACTAAATTTTCTATTATATATATTAATATTAATATTAAAACTTATTTTTTAAGTTTTAATATATAATTTGATATGATTCTTATGCAAATATAGATATATCGAATACTGATGATTATAGTATGTCCGTCCAATAGAAGTATAGGGTCGTCCCTTCATGTTCTCTTGTGGGCATATCCTCAAGTTCCAATGCATGCTTGGAATTAATATTTTCTTGTGGGTACACAAGTTTGCCACGTCACACCGTGGCTGCCAAGGTCACAGACCATCTTGACACGTGTATTGCTGATGTAGCAGCGTCAAACAACAAAACAAATATGTGGTTATGGAAGTATATAGATATATATGTCAAAAACTAACGGTTAGTAGCCAGGACATAGAGAAACTGAGCTGCTCGTGGTTTCAGGCTTTCTGCAGCCAAACTGGTGTGGGTACTTTTTTAATCAGCCAATCTCCTAGGGCAGCCACGTAAGATACATGCTATGCTAAGAAAGGTAGAAATCTCTAATTTTTTTATAAGTATATAGATTAAATGTAATAAATAAACTCACTCATCATTTTCATCTTTGGTAAGTTTTGAATCTCTGACTTTTTAGGAGATTAAAGGCTACATTACTGTAAGTCCAAAAACTTTTTGGTAAAAATCTCTAAATCTTATATTAAGGAAGAGACATTATTTTACTATTTTTAAAGTTTGGAAAAATATATATTATTTTAATTGCTTTCAATAATGTGGTCGAATAAGTTATAATTTTTTATAAAGTTTTTTGAAAAGTGTATTAGATGATGAAGTTATAGAAATTTTTAATAATATAATTAATGCTAAAATTACTAAAATAGATTAATTGTTGGAGTTAACTATAATTTTTAATTTTTTTTTGACTAAAATACTTTATTTTAGAAAAATTATAGCATAAGTATTGGAGATCCAATACTCTTGAATCATTTTATCTCAAAGGAATTGTGATATTTTTATTTTAGTTTATCTCAAAATAAATATATATTTTAAAAATCTTGTTGTTTAGCTAATTAAAAAGTGTTGTAATTTACATATCTTTAAATCATGTTTTTTCATCGAGTATAGTTATTTTCGAACTCCGGAACTATATATGTATTTCTAAAGTGGTTAGAAAACTTGATGAGATATGTGGTTATACAGTGGGACCATGCTTCTACTTGATCCCCTTTCTTGTTTATCATGTTCAAGATTGTGTTTCCCCCTTTTCAGGGTTTCATATCATTTGCTTGATGAATGAAACTCGATGTGTATGAGGTTTCTTGGGACATCGGTAATTACTACAAGAAAACATGAAGATAATTAAAGAGCCAAGGGACAGACATTTATATACTTGTAACCAAAGGTATCATCATAATTATTATTAATTTATATATATATATATATATATATACAATGGATCATGTGAAAATAGAAGTCAATGTGAGAATTATAAGAAAAGATTTGGACCCTTGATCACTTGTAATCTCAAATCAATCAATGAATTGCGTTTTAGAAGGATATTAATTTGGTACTTCTCGTTGGTGTTCATCTAATGAAACTCTTCGATTATGATTGATTCAAAGGTGAAGATCTCTTCATACTTTTATCACTATAACTTTCATTCTTACCGGATGATATGTATATATACACACTACTAATGCTAGTGTTGAAATCTTGTGGATTTCAGTTATTTGAGGGTAAATGAAATGGATAAAGTTAGCAAAATAGATGGAGCTTTTGGCGGCAAAAGGGATAATTAATGATGCCTGATCATTTTGTTGTTATGATGGGATCATACTAATAATTAAATTGAAGAAAGTCAAGTAAAGATGATACTTTATATATATATATTAGTTGATAAAGTGCCTCTTAAAGTAATAAAATAAATTAGAGGTGAAGTGCATGAGTCAACAGAAAAGAACAGAATTTTAAAAATTTTTGCAACATTTCTCTATAAATATGAGGTGTAATTTCGTTTTTCAGAGTTTCACATCAGCTAGACTTGAACCATTTTTTCTCAATATATATGTTAGAACCTCCATTTTCTTGAAAAATCTAATGAGGTTCCACATAAAAATATATATCCCTGCACCCCATGATGGTTTTGTGTTTCTGAGTTATTGGCTTATCTTTCATTTGAAGGATGTCGAGTTTGAGTATACCGATGCAAAGAAGCAATCGCATGGGGCAACCTCCACCAAGAGATCCCGTGCTGCTGAGGTCCATAATCTCTCTGAGCGGGTTTGTACTTCACTTCTCTCGGTTCTTTAATAATTATATACAGCAAAATTCACACCGTCACATACACCCCTCACAGTTAGTGAGACTTGAACCATGGACCTCTAAGGAGGTTGATATCTAACTAATAACTCGGGTGTTGTTGGGTCAATGACCATTTGGTTCAATTGTTTAAGTATATAATAATTATATACAGAAAACTTCACACACCCCACACTACGGGTGAAACTTGAATCTGTGATCTCTAAGGAGGTTGAGATCTACTAGTAACCTAGGTACTGCTGGACTAACGACCTTTGGTTCAATTTTGAAAGTTGATAGTGTGTTAATATTCAAATGGGTGGTGACTAATATGCTCGGGTTTGGTACTTGTGTAGAGACGTCGAGATAGGATTAATGAAAAGATGAAGGCCTTGCAAGAACTAATACCCCGATGCAATAAGGTCTGCAGTACATATATTCTTTTCCGATTGTATATGAAATGCTCGTTAAATTCAGACTCCTTAATATCTTGTAAATCAAAACTGTGATTTCTAGTCTGACAAAGCTTCAATGCTGGATGAAGCAATCGAGTACTTGAAGTCGCTTCAAATGCAAGTGCAGGTATATAAACCTTCAAAACTTTCTTGTATACTGTTAGAATTCCACATTAGCTAAAATTGAACCATTTTTTTCTCTATATATGTTAGAACCTCCTTTCTCTCCTCGATGGCTCTTTTGAAAAGTAATTGTTCCACATATCGTCGCATATACGTGAATGCTAATGCTATTCCTAATCAACTCTATACAAAAGGAAATGGAAGAAATGACCCATATGATCTATTATGGGGCGTTTTGGTTTGACAGAATGTTCTTGAGGAATTTGGAATGAAATTGAACTCGATTCTTTATAGATAATTTATAACAAATAATTATAAAAATTAAACTACCTTCTATTAATTGATTATTACAAAGCGAATGTTATAACATATTCTAGATCATATGAAATCCCGTGAAATACCAACTACCCCAATGGGATTTCTAAATTCAATGTTTATGGGATTGGAATTAAATTCAATTCCAAATCTCACCAAATCCTGCAAACCAAACGGGCCTTTAAAGTTCCAGGTATGCTAGACTTTGACCATTTCTCTCTATATATGTTGGAACCTCCCTCTCTCTTCAAGGGAAGGGGCACTTTTGGAAAGTAATCTAATGGGGTTCCACGTATTCTCACATAATTAAATTTATGCATGTAGATGATGTCAATGGGATGCAGCATGGTTCCGATGATGTTCCCTGGTGTCCAGCAATACATGTCGCCAATGGCTATGGGAATGGGGATGAACCATGCCATGGTTCCATATCCCTCCATTCTTCCAGGCTCATCACTACCCAATCCAGCGGCGGCGGTGGCGGCTGCAGCGGCGACTCAGCTAGGTCCACGGTTCCCAGTTCCGGGATTTAACATGCCACCACCTGTTACCATCACGGGTGGTCCTGCAGCAAGTCAAGCAGCCAATCTGTCGGCTCCGATGATGAGCTCCTTTCCTTCACATAATCAAAACCAACCACAAGCCCCCAATTTCTCAGATCCTTTTCAACAGTACCTTGGTCTCCATCCAACTCAAATACCGCTTCCTCAGGCATGTTTTTAGTTTCACCTCTTACTAATCACAATTCCGATCATGTGTCCAAAGTCACGCACAGACGGACCTAGGAATTTTTCAAGTGGTGGCACCATTTGACTATAACAAATATAGGATATTTTTCACAAAACCATCATTGGTTTGTTGGTTCGTTCATTGTTTTCATATGTGAGGTCCCATGTACAAGTCTTTTATTGCAAAAAAAAAAATTCATATGAAATTAAAAGCTAAAATCTAGGAAAATGACACTAATAGGATTCGAACTAGGGGGGGAAGGAAAGCATTGCAAATCAACTCTACCAGAGGAAACTTGTGTTACAATTGTAGTTTCAAAATATATATGGTTGCACAAAGCAAAATGATATGGTAGCACCTTTCACGACCCTATAATTTTTTACACTATGACGAAGAAACAAAGTGGTAGCCAATGCCCCCTATCTATTAAAGTGGGTCCGCCCCTACTTCCGAGTGGTGGGGTTTATTGGGTCCATCTGTTTTTTTTTTTTTTTTTTTTTTTTTTTTTTTTTTTTTTTTTTTTTTTTTTTTTTTTTTTTTTTTTTTTTTTTTTTTTTTTTTTTTGAATTCTTATAAAAACAGAGTTAGGTATAATATTATCATGAGGGATGACCAGTTGCAGTCTGTTTATGCAGAATCAAGGAGGCATGCCCCCCATTGCAACTAAGCCAAGCAGCAGTAAAGATCCTACCAACCAATCTGGTAAGTAAAGACAGTTTCAAGTTAATCACAAGGGTGTCCGATTGGTTTGAGCTTGGCTCCAAAGGTCAAAAGTACCAGAAGGTTTCATGTTCAAATCCAAAGAGGAATAAAAATCCTCTTGTGGCCACGGAGGTTCAAATGCGGTGACTCCGGGCTATCTGCAAAGCAGGTGGTTGCCTTGGGATTAGTCGGCTCGCATAGCGGGTTGGATATCCAGGTTAATAAAAAAAAAGGGACAATTTCGAGTAGTTTGATTAAGAGCATCTATAATACAGCTTTTTGGAGAGCTTTAAGGCCATCTAAGCTTATGAAAAAGAAAAAATCCATTTTCTTGGAGTACTCCATACGTTGTGATAACCGTGAGATTTTTTATCTTATAAGGTATTGTTTTATATGATTTTTTTTCTATCTAAGACTAACATTTAATTTATTGATGAACATCTATTTGTTTCACCATGTGTTTACTTTATATGTATTTGGTTAATATGAAACTTTTTTACGTGTAATTTTGTTTCACAAACAGACAAAAAGCTTCCCATTGTTAAATAAATACATGTGAAACAAATATATGTTCATCAATTTTCTAAGAGGCCGTTTACCAAACACTTACCCGGTAAGCACTCAGCGATAAAATTGAACATTATCATTTACTTAAAGGTTTTTGTCAACAAAAACGGCTTTCTATGCAACAATTTAGCCGGTAAGAGCTGACCGTGGTAAGAGTCATTGTCCTCACTTACCGGGTAAGACACTCGGTCTTTGCCTCGCTCTTACCGGATAAGATTCTTGGTCATTGTCATATTCATCCGGTAAGGTAATATAACTTGGTAAACGCTTACCCGAGTAAGCATTTGGTAAACGTCCCCTTATAAATCTTAGTCTTAGATAAAATAAAGTTATATGAAATAACATGATGCACTAGTTCTCATGGTTATCGGCATTTCAAAGGTTTACATCCTTTTTTTACGTTTCTCACCTTAACTCATATTCGCATACGATCCTTTGTCCTTATATATATATATATATATATATATATATATATATATATATATATATTTTCCAGATTCTCTCATCTCATAATGATATGTTGGCTGATCTTGTTTGTATATTTTTTCAGGTTGATTTTGAAGGAGGAAAGAGGCATTGTTAGCCAACTAAATTTTGTAGGGTTAAAGAAATGTTGTGCAAGTAATTATACAGATGATAAATTAGGGTTTTCTTTATATCATAAGACTGTAGTTTAGACTTAGAGTGATGAATGAAAGGGTCTTTGTATAGGAAATGTTTTGCTTTTTATTTTCTTGTTACAGGAGTTTTTAAGTTCTCCATGGTCATTCTAATTAATGACCATACCAAACTAAATGATGTCCATTGCAATTGTTGGGCCATTCATAGTTTGGAGGTTTTTGTATACTTCTTTTAAGTTATTATTGTTCTTGTTTTTATGTAATAACTTTGGTTCTTACCTCAATTTTTGTGTTAATATATAATTTTATGAGTTGCGAATCAGGAGGTATAGGTGGTATGTGTCACCATATCATACCTCCCTCCAAGGGTGAAAAAATTTAGGTTCGTGAAAGGTGAAACCGTATTAATTTGTTGTGTGTTATCGTATGTATTTTGAAACTACAATGATAACAAGTTTTATTTGGTAGAGTTGGTTTGTAGGGTTTTTATTCCATCCCTGACTCAAGTTTGAATCTTGTTAGTGTCATTTTCTTAGTAAATTGGTGTCACCATTTGAAGAAAAAAAAATATGTATATTTGTTTCTTATAGTTAAAAAGTGTCACCGTTTGAAAAAATTTATGGATTTGTCCTTGTATCGAATAATTATTGATGTTGAAAAAATACTTGAAACCTATAAAAGGAAGGTTCTTGTGAGTTTTATGATAGTTTTTGCTTTTCAGTTTGTTGAGTTGGTATTGATGTGAAAAAAGAAGGTTGTCAAGAGGATTTCCAACAACTTCTCTAAAATAGAAAAAAAAAATTAAATTTTTGTTTTTTAAAATAGAGAAAACATGAAGAAAAAAAACCTCCAAGTTCTGAAAATTCTTTAAAACTTGAGATTGAATTGTTATTATTATTTTATATAAAGTTTCTTTTTAAAAGTGTATTGAGATGATAAATTGGAGAATATTATAATAATTTAATTTATGTTAAAATCTCTAAATAAAGAATCCGTTTGGAGTTGAATGTAATTTTTTTGAAAGATTTTAACTCTTGGTTCTCTGTTTAGAGAAATTACAGAGAACATGTTGAGCATCTCCAACAGATTTTCTAGAATAGAGAATCAAAAGTCAAAATATTCATATTCATCTCAAACAACTGCATACATGCTCAATTACCAAAGAGCCTTTGACCTAGCAGTATGTGAACTAAGGATTTAAACTTTACCAAAAATGAAAAGAATGCATAAATTTATTTGTTATTTTTATCATATATAAATATTATATACTGATCTTAGGGGAGTGGATATTGATGGGCACAAGATTTGGGAACATGTGGTGGATGCAATGATTGTGATTGTGTTTTTAGTCCACTTGATTTGGGAATCTAATGCAGTTTGTGGTCATCAGGCTCTTTGCTTTATTTTATATGGGAAGTTAATTGATTGGTACGAGTAAGAGCATACCTTTTGTTTCTAACTTCTACTTTTTTAAATGCTTTAAAGAAACTTCTTTTTGAAGTATATAATATTTATATACGACAAATACAATAAATAAACTCACACACCCACCCACCTTTGATGAGATTTTAACTCTTGACTTCCTAGAAAGCCAAAGATTACGATATACAATTAGACCAAAGACCCTTTGGTTGCTCTAAGAGACTTCTACTACTCTATTCTATCAATCTATTATCTATTTTAGGACCCCTCTTGGAACAAAAAGGAATTGCAAATCTATATTTTAACATAGTTGTTGATGAATGAAGATCCAATAACATTACTTTGTTAGGATATCCAACATGAATTTAGGAGGCAAAATCAACAACAAAATAATAATAAAAACATAGTCGAATACAAAACACTTTGTATGTCCAAATACAATAAAAACAAAAGGGTTTTCACATATAAAGCCCTTCTGGTACACCTTCCTTCTTCTTGAACATAACCTTGTCTTTTGCCTTCTTAAAATCCGGATGTGTCACCTGATAATCAACAATCAAGATTAACTACAGTCTGCATACATCATACCCTACTCTGATTACAGTATAATACTGGGTTCGGTTGAGTTGGTTTGATTTTTACTCCAAATGAAATACACCCTCCATCCGAAAAATGATTATTTTGTTCTTTTTGTGTGCGTGTTTGGGGGGGGGGGGGGGGAGTATATGCGGAAACATCCTCTCTATCCTCTAGTCTACTCTAGTCTATGGGTTTGTTTGTTGACAGCTTAATTAGCTTAATGAAACTCAAAGCTTATTCGGTTAGTCGTACATAACTGTTTCATAGTGGCTTAATGGTATAGAAAGTGGCTTATTCAATAAGTTCCTAGGGGTGAGATGTAGAAAGCCAAGTTTTTTTCCAAACCTGTCCATCCCAATTAAAAAAACACACTACTTCCATCTATGAAAAAACCCTCTCAAACAAAAACCTTCCCAATATATAGAAGCAGATTAATCCCACACAGTCGGTTTTATCCAAACAAGACTTGATGAAAGAAACAAACAGCCCCTACGTCTGAGCAGGATACACCAGGTTCGTTTGGTTTGATTTATCCCAAAAAATGCATTGTTTGAGTTACAACTAGGGTCTCGTTTAAATAAAAAGGCTAAATATTGTGAAAGGTAAGAATGGAATGCTCATATGTGAATCACTGAAAAAATTCGAAAAAAAATTCTATTTGAAGATTCATATCTGAATCGGCCGATGTTACAAATTACTCATATGGGTTCACGTATACATCTTCAAATGATTTTTTTCAAGAGTAAATTACATTTTTCGTCCCAGTGATTTGTCAAAATGCAATTTGTGTCCCTGTGGTTTAGAAATTCATTGCTATTTTCGTCCTTATGATTTACAATCTATTGTTCTTCGGTACCTGTAGTTTACAACTCTTTAATCTTTTTGCAGTAATTCACACTTGAACCTTCTATTAGCCTATTCCTAATCCTAAATGGAATGTAACGACCTAGGGATCCATATGTAAATATAGCATCTGTTCAGATAAGCTCAAATGACTCCCAAGTTAAGTTTGATATTTGGTTCAGAGATTTCTGAGTGCATTTTTATATTGTCTAAAAGACGATAATTTGTGCACACAAACTAGTCGAAATATGTTGGCAGTCCACATTTTCAGGCATATGATATGAAGCATGGTATGTAGATCGTAAAATGTAATGCCTGACCTTCATTCGACGTTCTCTTAGAGCAAGCAATCCAGCCTCGGTACAAATAGCCTTGATATCAGCCCCGGAGAATTCATCTTTAGTCATAACAAATTCTTCCAAGTTCACATCATCAGCTAGTGTCATTCTTGATGTATGTATCTGAATCAAAACATTTGTTAACCACATATATTTACAAATTACAGACTTATATAGGGGTATAATCAAATGAGAGTCCCAAAAATGTTGAGAACCAGTGAATGAGTTGTTTCACGTTGGTTCATATCCCCAAACTAGTGTTGCTCCTAATCACAGAAATGAACATTTTATCTACAACTTTATAAAAATAAAACATTTTACCTACAACGCCAAAAGCGTGATTATATTGCAATAACAATGACGCTGTACCTGGAATATGCGCCTTCTTGTTTTGATATCCGGAAGTGGGAACTCTATCTTCCTATCTATACGACCAGGTCGAAGCAATGCGGGATCAAGACTTTCGATTTTATTAGTTGCAAGTATCACTTTAACATCACCTCTCGAATCAAAACCATCCAACTGATTCAACAATTCCAACATAGTCCTCTGGATTTCACGCTCACCACCGGAGTGGGCATCATATCTGCATAAAAATCCTAGTTAGGCTCCTTTCTCATAACCAGGGGGGGACCTACAATGGTGCATATGGAGGCCCAGGCCACAGCTTCGTTCCTCCATCATAGTGTATAAATTTCTAGGGTCGTAAAATGGGCCACCGTATTATTTTGTTGGGTGCAACCGTATATTCCTTGAAACTATAACAATAACACAAGCTTATTTTGGTAGAGTTGGGGTGCAGAGTCTTTATCCCCCTCTAGGTGTAGGTTTGAATCCCATTTGTATCATTTTCTTAGTTTTTAGCTATTAATTTCAGTTTTATAATGTTTTGGACATTTTTTGGGATAAAAGGCTCGAAAGACAGGACCAATGATGATTTTGTAACAATTATCCGTAGCTTCAATTTTTATGGGAAAATGATGCGAACACCTGAAAAAATTTATAGGTCCGCCTGTGCTCATAACAAAGTTTCCAAGATAAAAATTGCAATGAACATACCTCTTTGTGCCAACGGCATCGATTTCATCAATGAAGACGATAGATGGGGAGAGGTCATCGGCAACTCTGAAGAGTTCTCTGACCAACTTAGGACCATCACCGAGGTACTTTTGAATCAACTCACTTCCAACAACACGTAAGAAAGTTGCTGATGTAGAGTTTGCCACTGCCTGGATAACAAAACAGAAGGCTCAAATACAAACGAAAATTCCCTATGCGTGTTTGCTTGTTGTGAACATGAAGGTGCGTATAAGATCATGCATGATATTATTGGAATATTTGCTAGAAGCCTGGCTTCATAAAAGATCCTTTACATCGGCCAAAGACAAACACTGAGACGAACCGGCGAAATGAATCACCAATGGCATGCTACATCTTTATACAACCGATCAAAGAAGAAAGACTATGAGTTCTACGGGACAATGTCCCTTCCTCATTTCCGAAGATACAGACTCCAAACAAAATAAATTTGCTCATAAATGTTTGTTGAAAATTCCTTTTCTCATTTCGTTATGTTTGTTAAGGATCCGTCTGTTAACAACTTAATGACTCACGGCTTATTTGGTCAATTATACATGACCGTTTGGTAGTGGCTTAATGATATAGAAAGTGGCTCATTCGATAACCAAGTTTTTTCCAAACCTACCCCCTCCCAGTTAAAAAAAAATGCTCTTTCCATATATGAAATAATCCTCCCTATCTATACTGACAGATTAATCCACAGTCAGCTTTATCCATACAGGACTGAAAGGAAAACCAACTAAACAGCCCTAGGTCTACCCCTTGTTAGACTTTACCCTAAGACCTTTTTGACTTCGTAAAAATCCCCACACACCAAAGTTTAACCGGTGCAACCAAACTTTGACTCATGTGGCATATAAGCCATTCTGCAACTAGCCTTCCCTATTTAAACAAAGAAATACTCCCTCTGTCCCAAAGTAAGTGTCCATGATTCTATTTTAGTTTGTCCCAAAATAAGTGTCCATTTTCAAAAGTGTCTAATTTCCCATACTACCCTTTAACTATGAGATGGAGAAAATTACTCTCGCCATTATTAAGGATAAAACAGTCATGTTGTTAACTAAAAAGTGTAACAATTGCACATTCCTAAACTGTGTGCTTTTTTCATTGTGGACATCTATTTTCGGACAGAGGGAGTATTTATATTGGCAGGCGTAGAACGAAAGCATCAAAAGATAACTTTAAAATATACACCTTGGCAAGCAAAGTTTTGCCTGTTCCTGGCTCTCCATAGAGTATAACTCCCTTTGGAGGTTTGATACCTATGTCCTCATATAATTCAGGGTGAGTCAGAGGAAGCTCGACTGCCTCCTTGATCTCTTGTATCTGAGCATCTAGCCCACCAATATCAGCATAAGACTCCAAAGGAGCCTTCTCAACCTTCATCACAGACACCATGGGGTCGACATCATCTTGAAGAAGCCCAACAACAGAAAGAACCTGAAGGTGGGTGAAGATATAGGACGATTAGCACATTTGGATATCTTAAAAAGTTAAAATACACTTGTGTTTCAAGTTTAACTAAATGACAACTTTAATAATCCTTCTCTCCATATCTGGAACATAGGATGACTCAAAAGTAAGCAACTTGAAAACGCAATGAACATATCAAGAATTCCAAAAGCTCAAAAGATCAGTACCATACAGGTGGACATCCATAGATAAAGCAAAAGAAACAAATACCATTAGAAGAAATTGTAAACATAAGATCGAACTATTCCAAACCCTTCAACAGAAATCTATCATACTTAACAACAAAAAGACACATATATCGCTAGAACACCAGAGAACTTAGATTGAGCTAAAACAACAAATCAGCAACAACATTTTTATATGCATATATGTTTCTGTAAAAAGGAGAAAAAAACCACAGGTAAACGTATCTTTGTTCACAGGGACTGTGAATGGTCTTCCAAAATGGGAACCATATCATTTCTGCCTTCAAGAAACTCTTGATGTCTGAATGCCGTTTATATTGACACCATATCCGTTTTCTAAGAGGGAAAAAAGGGCTGGAGAACCCATATAGCAGCAGCTACTAGTATGATGTAAAACCTGGATTATGCCTATAAATGAGTTCCCTAGCACAATAACAACTCAACTACGAACTACAGGATTTAAAACTACAGAAACATATATGCATATAAAAATGTTGTTTTGGCTCAATTTAAGTTCTCTGTAACACCATTCTAGTTTTTTTGTTCTGCCTTTCACTCATGTTTTTTACTTTTCTAGTTTGGCTCCCGTAGTTTTTAGGTTTTTCAGATGTGCTCTTTTGCACAGTGTCCTGTTGAAGGGTTCAGAATAGCATATTCAAAACATAAGTACCAATTAAACTCAAATAAATTGAAACCCTAGATTGTATCTTCCAATAAAAACACAAAACATCAAACCAACAGAGTAAAATTGAGACTCTAATTTACCTTATTGTGCATCAAGATTGCACATCCAGGCTCAAGCTGGTCCTTATCAACAAACGACAGAATTCCAACGTAATACTCCGGTCCGACAGATGACGACACGATGGCGTGATTTTCGTCAATAAGCTCCTCAAGATTTCCAACACTCATCGGAGATCCACGTAGATCATCGACCTTTGACCTATCTTCTTCAGTCTTCTCTTCCTGTGGCTTCAATCTCTCCTGATTGGCCACAAATTCCTCTTCCATCAACAAATAATCTTTAATTCGCTCAAGCTTTAAGAGCCTTAACCGACACTTTGAATGCGGCGTCACCGTAGGTAACCTAGCCGCAGCTTCTGGTCCCTTCTGCTTTCGCTGTTTCCGACCGACACGAGTCGGCGGAGCTGCTGGTTCAAATTTCTTCTCCTTTTTCTCGCCGTCGTTCTTCCGATCTCCGGGCATACCTTGCCGGTTCATGCCTCCGGGAGTTCCTTGACCCATGGTGATTTGCTTTTGTGTGTGGATGAAGAAAACGGAGGATCTGAAACTGGGGTTTTTAAGCTTTTTCTCGTTGTCTTTCTTTTCAAGAAAGCATGGTATCATATAGGAAGGATGTGCGGGCTTGTGGTTCGGGTCGGGTTATGATTCGATCCGGCTTACAATCGAGATTCGGGATATCGGTTATGGGTTTGTAATTCCCTAATGCTTGATGGGCCGGCCCATTAATAGTCCATATTGTTGCTTAGCTAAGCATAGTATTACATTTTCAAAAAATCAAAAGTCGGACCAGTTTACTAATGGGCCGGCCCAATTAAATCACCTCGGTCAACTTTAAAAGTTTTTATATTCAGAAAATGGTAAAATGCGCAAAATAACAACCTAATTTATAAATTTCATTATTATTATATTCTACATTCAGTTTTTTTTATTACAGCAATGTACTTTCAAAACAAAATTATTATGGCATCATACTTTCAAATTTTTGTCCGTTATAGCATTGGGTAACTTGTTACCTTTTGAACAGGTATTTCTTTGTTGACGTGTCAAACTTAAAATGATATGGAAGCCATATAGGATAATCTGTTACACATGGAATAACTTACATGTCATTTAAAAGAAAAAACTAATTTAAAAACAATTTTTAAATTGTTTTCTTGTAGCTTATGGCGAGGATGTGGAGTTGTTGTTTTAACCTGCAAGAAACTAACATATCTTGGGATAAGAGGTTATTTGGCAGTTGTTGAATGGTTTGGTGCAAAATAGTTAAGTGGTCATAATGATTAAGAGATTCTCATGGTATAGTGTAAATTGAAATATAATTGTTTGGTAATTGTTTACAATGAAATTAGGGCGTTGAATGGTTAATGAAGACCCATGATACAAAATCATTCAGAATGTTTTAGAACTATCAAGAGACGAACTTTTTTTTTACTAAACAATATTCACTTCTTAACAATTCAGAGGTTGTATCTTAATGAAACTATTAAGAGGTAAACAAACAACTCCTAAATAAGAGGATGATCAAGATGTCGATACTGGAGTCAATTGAGGATAGCTTTTATGTGGGAAATAGCTGGATAGATTGGCAATGATATGATCAATGACATAATCTCCATGGTTGGAACTTTTCTGCTTTCTATTCAAGGTAATTATAAAACCTGGAGCCTCTTTTTCAAGTTAGATGGTATTAACTTTGTAAACCCATCACAACCATCCATTTTGTGAATCAATGGATGAAAATTATGATGACAATTTTGTAATAACTAGTAATATAATACATTATCATATAAAATGAACATACATGAACAAGAGTATTATAGGGGGAAAAAATATTCAAGTTTGTAATTGTCAATTAATGACATTAATATTCCGGAGATTTTTTTATTAATGACAACAGATTAATATTCATGTGAATATTAATCTGTTGTCATTAATAAAGAAATCTCCATTATTATAGACATTAATATATAAATGGGCATTTCCCTCTATATGAACTTGAGTTCACTTATGGACAATGTGATTATGTTCATTAAATCTTATTGAACACCTATGAACATCATACGGTTAAGAACATAATTTTATGAACGTCTTATGATTATGCACACATTCTTATGAACACATATAAATATCATCAAATATCATAAAAGTAACTTACACATAAAAATTTGTAACATCTCATTAAATACCATAAAAGTAACTTCTACATAAAAATTACCTATTTGTCTTTCATCATTAAATCAAGCATTTGAAGTAACATATACTAAAAAATTAGTATTATTGGTCTAATAAGTTTACAAAGTTAACACTATATTCTTTGTTAACAAAAGATTTTACATACACACACACAAATATACATACATATATATATATATATATATACACACATGTATATATAGAGAGACTTAATATCATTTGAGAAAAACATGTTTTCGTAAGACACATGAGACATGATTTTTATACTTAAAACTTCACAGCAAAACTCTGTGGTGAAGATTCGGCTTTTTTTTACCTTCACAACATTTTGTTGTGAAGTTTCAAGTATAAAAATCGTGTTTCACGAAAACAGTCTTGTCTCACGTGAACCCAACTCTCTCTCTCTCTCTCTCTGTATATATATATATATAATTATATATATATATATATATATAATTATATATATATATATATAGAGAGAGAGAGAGAGAGAGAAAGATAGATAGATAGGAGAGGAGAGGTTTACTTTGCAAACCATCCATTTTATACAAACCTTATAAACTAATCACATTTATTCGTTTTTTTATGAAAGACCAAGATTGAAACAAACTAAATAAGTAAAGTAAAAAAAAAGAGTTCATATTGGAGACACGGAAGAGCAAAACGGGAAAAAACATGTTCTATGATCTTATTTCATTACAGTTGTTATACACATGAACCTGATGCAATCGTATATGACCTATGAGCTTATTTCATTACAGTTGTTATACACATGAACATGATGCAATCATATATGACCTACGAGCTTGTTTCAGTACAGTTGTTATTAAACAACTTGAGCCTGTTTCATTGAACAGTTAATAATATTATATAATTACCAAACATAACTATTGTAAATTCAAATGACCATATTACACTTATAGATTAAAAAACAAACAGATGGATTTATGTGATTGATTGTAATTAGTTTGTAAGATTTATACAAATTGGGACGGTTTGTATTTAATCGCTCCTCTATATATATGTATGTATACATATAGAGCCTCTATTTTCAAATGAGTGTAATATATATGTGTGTATTTGTGTGTATATAGCCTTTTTTTTTCAAGTGAGTGTAATGTGTGTGTATATATATCTAAATAGGGGTTGGTTCAAATACTAACCAAGATTTTTGTGTTAACTTTGTTAACCAAACTCAACCAATCATATTCCATCTTTTCTTTAGGTTCACATATAACTCATATATTAATGACAAGGATAATTAAGTAATTTATCATTTATGTAACTCCCAAATCATTAAGTGGGAGTTACAAATCTAAAAATCTCAACAATTGATGATTATGTGATATTGATATTTTTTTATACGTGTTCATGTTTTGTAATTTCGATTTATTCTATCAATAATAATATTGATTTTGTAATTGTTAAAGAATTTCCGATTGTAAAGATTTCGATATCGTCCGAGTAATATGGATAAACCTATTGGAAAACAGATCGACAACAATGAGAATGAAAAGGTTAAAATCGTCTACCACTACAATCGGAATTTGAATTCATATGTAATTGTTAAATAATTGTTCACAAGTGTTCATATTGTGTTCATATGTACACTAGCTGCATATCTCAACATTGGCTTGCTCTTAAATGTGTTCATAATGAATGAACTATTATTCACAAACTGTTCATATTGTGTTCATACCCGTTTTTTTATTTATTTACTTTCGTATAATAATTATTCTTATTATATTCATATTGTATTCATAAAAGCTATACATTCCAAGTTTATATATATGTCAATTTTTGTTCGTATTTGACACAATGGTTCACACACACACACACACACATATATATATATATATATATATGTGTGTGTGTGTGTGTGTGTGTGTGTGTTCATATGGTTCTTACATTAACAAAAATAAATGAATAAAAATAATAAGATTTTTTGATTTTGTAACTCCCAATTAATGATATGGGAGTTACATAAAAAAAAAAATTATCTAAATACTCTTTTCCCCTTTATTCACGTATGTTCTTTGAAATTGTAAATTTAAAAATTTAAATTTTTATCATGATTAATCACAACCCTTTATTGTAAGAATCAATTGTCAAGATTGGTTAACAAAGTTAACACAAAAATCTTGGTTAGTATTTGAATCAAACTCTCTCTCTCTCTCTCTCTCTCTCTCTATATATATATATATATATGTATACCACCCTCATTTGTACAAACCACCCTCATATGTCAATTTCATTGTTTAATCTTATGAAATTTTTTCATGAAATTGTTTAATATTGTGAAATTGTTTCATATAATATTTTTTTGATGAATTTGTTTCATATATGGTTATAAAATTGTTTCATATAATATTTAATGAAATTTTAATGAAACTGTTTCATAAATTTCTCCAAAATTAAAATAATGAAGATGATAATATCCATGATTAACATCATCCACAATAAAAATGGTTAATCAACTTCTCATAATTACAAAAAAAGAATGAACAAAAATGAAAAATTATGATTGGTTGAATGTGGTTTTCACGGCTTGTACAAATTGAGTGGTTTTCACGGTTTATACAAATTGAGTGGTTTTTATTTGAACACTCCTATATATGTGTGTGTGTGCGCGCACGCACGCACGCTTATAGAACCTCTTTTTCAAGTGATGGTTCCATTTGCCTTGACTGTTAACGTAAAATCAGATGTGATTTACACATGATTTGACCGTTTTTATGTTCTTTTGTTTAGTTATTGTTTTCGTTTGAACCTCCATATATATATATATATATATATACATATATATTCGATGTACAGACGATAATATTACTATTTTATAAATAAATAAAAATTGAAGATTTGAAAAAGTTTGTTTCAGTCGTTATACTAAACTTCTTTTTAAACAGAGAAAAAAAAAGGGATAGAAAATCAAGAAATTTCCTAATTAAAAAAAAAGAATAAAGTTAAAATACGATATTTTTTTATACAATTTATCAATTTTATATTCTCTATTTTAATTTATTCATTATAAAAAAAGTTTTGAAAAGTTAGGCCCTGTTTGTTTTTTAAAAAAAAGCACTTAATTGCCTCTTATGTCTGAATCGGTCAGACATAAGGGAATTAAGTGTGTTTGTTTTTATTTATTTATTAAGAGCTGAATTTCTCTGAATTTGTCTGAATTATTCAGATGTAAATTAAAGTCTGAAAACCACTTATTTTGGACTTTCATCTCCTTCCCCCAATATCCAATGAACAACACCACTACCAGCACTTACTACCATCGTCTCCTTTCCTTCTTTCAACCACCACCACCACCGCCACCGCCGCCGCCGTCCTCAGCCCATCAACACCGTCGTATACCCGACTCCCAATTG